CCACTCCTCGGCCCCGGCGGCGCTTCGGAGGAGCTCGGCCGCCTGCCCCGGGCGAGGGCGTGCTGGGCTTCCACGTGGCCCGGTCCTGAGCGCCGGCCTCACTGCCCCGCAAGGACGGGGCCCGGCGTGGCACTGACTGGCGTGCAGTGCCAGCCTCCCAGGAGCGACGTGACCTCAGCCCGGGAGCCCCAGTGCCGCTCCGCTCCGAGAAGCCGTGCCTGGCTCCTCGCTCCACTCCTCCGCCAGCTGCTGGCTCTCCTGCCCCGCGCGGTCCTTGCCCGGCGGGGCTCGGCTGGCACTGGGGACACCGCGGCCGCGGCCCCCTGGCTGATCCTCAGGGTCGTGGACGGAGCCCAGTCCCTGGTGAGGCAGGGGTCGCGCTCCTGCCCGAAGCACTCCTGTCCACAGCCGCCAGGACCCGCCCGGCCTCAGCGTCTCTCAGGATCCCTCCCTGCGCAGGCTCCGACCGTTGGCTCAGATGTTTCAGTGTTGATTTCGGGTACAGGCGTGGCTCCAAGCACCCCAGGACCTCCCGCGTCACTCGCAGGGCCCCGTGGGTCCCCAGGGGTCCCCAGCACTTTGCAGGGTCCGGCGGTCTGCCCTCAGCCCTCACGTTCACGTCTCTTGGAAATCCCAGTGTTTTTATATTTTTAAAAACTGAGCACAGTGAGATACCTTTTGAATTGTTCTTTTGGATTATACTTATACGGGAAAAGTGCTATGACGAGTTTTATGCAATAAACACGTATGTGCGTGTGCACACGAGTGCCGGCGCGGTGTGCTTGCGAGTGTTCTGGGCGGAGGTGACCCTGCCCTTGGGGGTTGGGGCTGGGGCCGGGTGTCTCAGGCAGGCCCTGTCACCTTCCACGTTGGTGCTGCTGTAACAAGTGGCTGCGGGCTTTAGTACAGTCCCAGGAGCCCCGCCGATGCAGGCTGTGCTGAGCCAAAGTCGGGGTGCCTGTTGTGCTCGCAGCTTCCGGCAGCTCTGGGGAGACCCTTTTCCTCTGCTTGGTGACCCTGCACTGGGGACCCTGCCGCTCCCAGGAGGAAGCACACAGTGGGAAAGGCGGCTTCTTTCACGGCGCCTAGGCAGCAGAGAGAAAGGGGGGCCGGGCGGGGGTGCCCCAGTGGTGGTCCGCCCCAGGCCTCCCCTCCAGTCAGCCCTGACTCTTAACTGCTCCGTGAAGCCAGAATTCATCCACGGATGAACCCTTAACTTAACCACCAGTGAGCTCACGGCTGAGGCGGCCAGGAGCGGGTGTCGCCGGGAGGGTGCCTCTTGTTCCCCCATCCTTCCTCCTCCCGTGTCCTCCGCCTGGTGTCCCCGCCTGGCCACACACAGGCCCACGGCCCCGTGAAGGGTGAGCCCAGATACACCTCTGCTCCTTCAGGTTATTCTCAGCATGTGTCAGTGACAGAAAGCTGGCCACACGCCCGCCAGCCAGAGGTCCCGAGAAGGGGACAACTGGCCTAGAGCAACAACATAAGAGGCTGTTGGGAGACCACGGGGAGAGAGAAGGCAGAGCCGGGTGAGGACTGTCCCCAGGGCCGTGGAGCCCGCGGACTGAGAGGGCGGGAAGGCCTCCTCCCCTTCCCTGCACAGGCCACAGGGTGTGGCTGGGCCTGCGGCTGCCCCGCTCCCCCCATTCCCGCTCTCCTTGTCCCGGGGGGCTGGGGCAACTTGCCTTGTGTCCTCCCTGGTTACGTAGTGACTGTCCTGCTCCAGGAGTGCAAGTCCCTGGCTCAATCCCTACCACTGAAAAAGTAAAAACAAGACCAGCTGCCCGGAGGCCACCATCCCGAGAAGCCAGGTCCCTCGGATCCGCGCAGCACTGCCGCTGGGCTCAGGTCCTCTCTGGGCCTGTCTGTAGCGGTCGTCTTCCTGGGTAGCTCCTGAATGTCCAGACTGCTTAAAAAATCCCATCCCAGGGCTGGGGATTTAGCTCAGCGGCACCGCGCCTGCCTGGCAAGCACGAGGTCGTGAGTTTGATTCCCGGCACTGGAAAGAAAAAAAAAACATCCCATCCCAGTGAACAAGATCAATCTCCACCCACCATTTCTGAGCCCCTGCCACGGCCCGTCTCCCAGGGAGAGACTAATTAGCGGTGCAGGAATCAGTCCTTGCGTCATGAAAATTTAACCATCAGCCACCTGTGGACAGCTCCTCCCAGCCTCCCAGCTCCGAAAAGGCCAGGGCTCCACAGTGCTGTTTATATCCTGATTCTACCTTTTCACACTGGGCTTCTAGGAGGTGGAAATTCTCAAATTTTCTGAATGAACACGTCTTGGTGACTCCCCTGATCCCTCCTAGTGGGCAGGAGACAAGGTCTTACTATGTAAACCAGGCTGAACTCAAACTCAAGGAATCCTCCTGCCTCAGCCTCCCGAGTGCTGGGATCACAGGTGTGCACCACCAGCCCAGCACCTGTCTTCCCCTTCTTTTTTAAGTAACTGGACTCAGCTGTGCCTCGATCCCCCTTGACTGCAGGAACTCGTGAAGTCCATGTCACATAATTGCTTTCATGTTCGAGCTGGTGAGGGTGTGCTGTAAATGGCTGCGACAGTGTGACAGTTCCATTAGCCCCGAGCGCTTCCTGGTTGACCTTGCAGATTGAATGCACGGAGGTCGGCTCGTCTGCCTGGCCGCTACATTTTGTGTTTGCGGTTTGGGGCAAGGCCCAGACAAGAAATATTGGGGTCCCTGGGCCTGGGCAGCTGCTCCAGCTGGGGGTCTCCCTCGGCTCCAGGAGCCGGAAGGGGCGGCCCAATCCATGGCCCCCGGGCCGCAGCGGCCACTCCGTCAGGGCGGCAGTGCCATTTTTAACATTCTGTCTGCAGACCCCCGGGTATTTTGAGGTTGGGAGTTTGCCAGCCTCTGCTGAGGTGGAATCACGGAAAGCTGTGGCCGGGGTTCTCAGGCTTCTACGGACTTCTAGGCAGAAGCCTGGGCTGCAGGGAAGGACGCCTATCTTTATCGGAGCGGTGGTTCCTTGGGTTTGTACAGAAAACATCGGCCTCTGGCGAGAGCGTGGAGGAACTGGAACCTCACGCATGGGTGCTTGGAGTGGAAAATGCAGCCGCTGCTGTGGAGCAGTCTAGCGGCTCCTCCAGAAGGTAAATGTAAAAGACTGCATGTGGCCCACTGCTGGGTCTACACCTGAAACAATTACAAGTAAGGACTCAGCCGGGCGTGGGGGCACACCCTGTAATCCCAGTACTCAGGAGGCTGAGGCAGGAGGATCACCGTGAGTTGGAGGCCAGCCTGAGTACATAGCGAGACCTTGTCTCAAAAAAAAAAAAAAAGTAAGGACTCAGACACTTGTATGGAGTGTTCATAGGGCACTCTTCACAGTAACCACAAGGTGGAAACAGCCCCAGGGTCCGTGAGATAATGAATGAACAGAACATGATCTGTCTGAGCAGTGGAATATTACACAGCTACGAAAAGGAGTGCAACTGGCTCGGATGAACGTCAGAAGGAAGATACTACTAAGTGACAGATGCCAGCCACAGAAGGACAAAGGTCATATGCTCCCACTGATGTGAAATACCCAGGACAGCAAAGTGAAAGAGGCAGAAAGTACAAGGGAGATCGTGCCGGGAGCAGAAGAGGGGAGAATGGTTGGATGGCTGGGGTTTCTGCCGCGGGAGAGGAGGTCCTGGAGTGGAGGGCACTGGTGAGGGCACTGAAGACCCCTGAGCCACTTACAGGGCCTCGAGTGGCAGTGTCATCACTTCATGCAGAAGTACGTGTATCTTACCAGAAGCGAGGTCCCAAGCGGAAGAGATATCTGTACGCTGCTTCAGGCGAGGGTGCGGCCGCCGCTGATGTCACCGCGAAGAGAAGCCTGGGCACCGACACTACACGCCCGAGGCCCGCCCGAGGGATGCGGCTTCTGGAGAAGGGGCAGAACTTGCAGAAGGGCTGCAGGCCGGAGCTACCCTGCCGGGCCTGGCCCCCTTCGGTCACGGCGGACATGTGGCTACCCTGTCCCGTGCCCGGGCCTGAGCATTCTCAGGTGGGGTCTTCAGTTGGAGATTGGAGGTGGAGCTGTTACTTGGATGGGGATTGGAGAAGGAACTGTTGCCTGGATGGGGATTGGAGGGCGAGCTGTTACCTGGACAGTGATTGGAGGGGGAGCTGTTACCTGGATGGGTTACTTGGGCCTTTGTCCAAGGCCTTTGTCCAAAGGTCCAGAAGGACCTTTGTCCTTCTGTTACTTGGGCAGGGGTTGGAGGGGAGCTGTTACCTGGATCGTGATTGGAGGAGGAACTGTTACCTAGACGGGGAACGGGCATTGGAGGGGGCGCTGTGACCTGGACTGGGATTGGCGGAGGGGTGTTCTCCGGGCGTCAGGGAGACCCAGAGATTCCTCAGCGTCTGTCCAGCTCCGGAGCTGGCGCTCATGAGCGCAGCCTTCACAGGGCATCTGCGCTGCCTCCCGCGGAGTGTTCTGCGGCCAACCGCGAGGTCCGTCGTGCGGCCTTCAGCAGCTCTCGGTTCTACCCTGCGTCGCGCTGCTGACCGAGCGCCGCGGGCACGCGAGTCGTGGAACTGGAAGCAGACGATCGAGCGCGCTCGGGAGCCGCGTGTTTGGCGAGGCGGCGCTGGCCGTTCTACCCCGGCTCGGCAGCGCCGGGGCGGCAACAGCGTGAGCAGGGGCGGCGCTGCCACCTGCCCATTCGCAGATGAGGAAACTGAGGCACAGGGCTGTGTGGCCTGTCCACAGTCGGGCAGCTAGGGAGCGCGGCGTCCGTCCTCCTGGCCTCTGCTTTCCTGCTGCTGAGTCTGGGGGAAAAATATATATATATATAAAACTGGCCAGGTATGGTGATGCACATCTGTAATCCCAGCCCTCGGGAGGCTGAGGCAGGAGGATCACCATGAGTTCAAGGCCAGCCTGGGTTCCCTAGCGAGCTTGTCTAAAAAAAACAAAAGCAACCTGCACTTTGCCTTTGAAATCCTTCGTGGCGGGTGCGAGGGAGGAGAGGAGGGTTATTGTATGGGAGAACTTTCACTGCCCCTAGCGGAATCGCTGCTGTTGTCTCAGTGGAATCTTTTTCTTCTCCTGCAACTGTGAACAAGGAATTTATCCAGTGACGCTGGCTCGTACCTCCTGCGGAGGATGCTGTGGGAATGTGACATTGCCCTGTCATTTAACAGGCTTAGCCTCATTTGGGTGGTGGTTTCTACACAATTTTGCACTGTTTCCCACATTTTACGCATGTTCCTAATCTCATTTGAAGTGAGGGATCGCTCCATCTAGTTCTCCTCTGCAGACGGAATCTGCTCCGTAATCTCTTGTTGTTGGGAGAAGATCACCCATGATTGCACAGAGGAGGGGTAGAGGGAGAGAGGGAGAGAAATCAGTGACCGCTGACGACCGGCCTCACGCTCGCCTGCACTGCAGGACCCGGCTCCTTGTCGGGGTACGGTCTGTTGGAAATGCTCTCAGGCTTGTGGAGCCCTCGCAGGACGTTCCGGATGCAGAGCGTCTCTGTCCGGGTGGGGGCGTCTCCTGCTGCGCTGTGGGTGTGGCCCGAGTGTCCCCGGAGGCCCCTTGTGAGGGTGCCTGGTGGGGGCGCAGGCCCTCTTCCCCTCCCATCCCGCCCCTCACCTGCTTCCCTCGCTTTTCTTCTCCCCGTGCCCCTGCGGTTCTCCCAGCGGTGCCACCTGTGCTCTGGCCGCTGGTCTGTGTCTCCTAGCTGGTGGGGCGGATTGGAGCCGGTAGCCTGCTGTGCTGATTGTATTTTTTTCGGGT